GAAGGTTGAAAGCATGGGCTTTGCATAACCTGGGTTCGAGTCCCAAATGGGGGGCCCTGGAAAAGTTACTGAATCGTTCTGGCCTCGTGGTAAAATGAAGAGAATGTCTCCTGCACTACCATTGGGAAGACCCAATGACAGGGACCCCAGAGAGTACCTAGCACAGTGCTTGGCATGAAATAAGCATCTGTAACTACAATCTTAAATATTATTATTGGGTCAGTAACCTCGGCAACCACCGCCAACACCCCCTTCTTTTGCCACTTCCCTGGGCCCAGTGTAGATGATGAACTGCTCTAAATCAGCCATGACCAACAGACATATCATGGGAAAACCACGTCTATAAATTCAAATTTTCTAGCAGCCACATTACAAAAGGGAAAAAGGAGAAAGTAATTTTGATAGTACGTTTTATTCAACCCAATATATGAAAATATTATTTCAACATGTAATCAATAGAAAAGTGATGTGATATTTTACACTCTTTTAAAAAAATATTAAGTCTTTGAAACCAGTGTGTTCTTACACTGACAGCCCATCTGAATGTGGCCCAACCATGTTCCAGTACGCCAAAGCCACAGGTGGCCAGGGACATCCACACTGGACAGCACAGGGCAAGAGGTACTGGGTGGGCCCTTCCCTGTTTCAAGCTCAGTGGCCTGGATGTGCGCAGAAGAAGGAGTCTGGAGCTGGGTTTAAGCTACAAGAACTCCCTCCCAAGGGGTAACACAAATATTTTCCATAATACACCCCTGCTGGGATCGAAGAGAACAGAAAGAAAGGCAAAGGAAAGAAAATAAATGATGTATTTTTCATTATTATTATTTTTAGAGACAGGGTTTGGCTCTGTTGCCCAAGGTGGAGTGCAGTGGCATAGTCATGGCTCATGGCAACCTTGACCCATGAGCTCAAGCAATCCTCCTGCCTCAGCCTCCTGAATACCTGGGGCTTACAGGCACATGCCACCATGCCTGGCTAATTTTTTTTTGTAGTGATGGAGCCTCATTGTGTTGCCCTGCCTGGTCTCAAACTCCTGGGTTCAATCAATCCTGCCACCTCAGCCTCCCGAAGTGCTGGGATTACTGGCTTGAGCCACCGTGCCTGGCCCTTATTTTTCTTTATATCCACAACAGATTTTAATAATACACCACTGTAGACAAACTTGCCTCTCCTCATAGAAAGCACATTCTTTATTTGTACAAATAAAAAACCCCGAAATTCCAAGGCTCTGACTGGGGCCCAGCAAGGATTAAGGTCATCAGGCACCAAACAGGACCCAAGGGTAAAGGGAGAGTGTGGGGTTACCTGGAGACTCCCCACGTAGAAAACGAGAGCTGGGATTTACAGTGAGGGGGCCACTCCACTGTTCAGGTCTCTGGGCTCACTCTCCATTCAGCACTGAGCACGTGAACTTGGGCATAGAACTTGGTGGTTAAAGCTTGAAGAAAAAGGCCCAAGAACCAATAGAAACTGAAGGAAACTGACAGCATACTGACGAAACTCCTTATCCTCTGCCTCTTGCCAGTGCCCATGTAAAAAAAGATCTGAGATTTTAAGAACAATGGGCAGGGGGGCAACATAGTGAGATCCCCCCATCTCTACAAAGAATAAAAAATTAGCTGGATGTAGTGGTACGTGCCTGTAGTCCCAGCCACTTGGGAGGCTGGGGTGGGAGGACTGCTTGAGCCTCGGAGGTTGAGGCTGCAGTAAGCTGCACTCAAGCCGGGTATCAGAGTGAGCCCTGGTCTCCAGCAAACAAAACAAAACAAACAAGACTCTGGAAGAAAATTCAAACAACCAAACAGAAACAAATACAGGCTTGCTAGCGAACCTTTTGAAAAAGGATATAGGCTGGGCACAATGGCTCACGCCTATCTAGGCGGATGATCACCTGAAGTCAGGGGTCTGAGACCAGCCTGACCAATATGATGAAACCCTGTCTCTACTAAAAATACAAAAATTAGCTGGGTGTGGTGGCAGGCGCCTGCAACCCCAACTACTTGCGAGGCTGAGACAGGAGAACTGCTTGAACCTGGGAGACAGAGGTTGCAGTGAGCAGAGATCACGCCATTGCACTCCAGCCTGGACAATGAGAGTAAAACTCTGTCTCCAAAAAAAAAAAAAGAAAGAAAAGAAAAAGAAAAAGGACCTAAAACTTCTTAATAAAAGCTTTTGGGGCCAGTTCTTCTGGAAAGAGGACTGGGTTTGAACTGCATGGCTCTTTGCAGTCATCAGAACCTCTATTTGCTTAAATGGCACGTGGAAAGACGGGTATACAATAACATTTGGATAGATGGCACTTTCTGCAAGTGGAAAAGAACTGGTTTCAGTTGTATAGAGTTTTATGGGAGCAAAAGAATAAGGACAATTCTAAACCCAGATTTTCTATTTGATCCTCAGTCTCTAGAAAGTTTGACATCCTAGATGAAGAACAAAAGTAAGTTGAACATGGGCACAGTGAGGGGACTAGGACACACTGGGGCCTGACGGGAGATGGGGTTGGGGGAGGGAGAGTATTAGGAGAAATAGCTTATGCATGCTGGGCTTAATATCTAGGTGACGGGTTGACAGGTGCAGCAAACCACCATCGCACACGTTTATCTATGTAACAAACTTGCACATCCTGCACATGTATCCCAGAGCTTAAGATAGAAAAATTTAAATTAAAACCAAAAAAAGCAGAGACTCTTCAAAGTGAGAGGATATGTCAGGTAGCTACTATTATTGTTCCTCCAAATTAATAGGTGTAAGGTACCTGTTTAATCAGCTGGAGGTTAGAAAAATATATATATAAATACAATATTTTTCATGGAAACAACAAAACAACAAAAGTTAAGTTGAAAGCCATATGTGTTAAGGTCACTCTTAACATTTTGACCTTTCCTGACAAGCAGAGACCAGGAAAAGACAAGAAAATGAATTTAAGGTACTCAAGTTCCAAATACACGAATCCATTCCTATTTGTTTTTCTCTTTCTTTTCTCAGCAAGTTGGGGGACACAGGCAGAAGCAACAACAGCCACTGACTGAGCTGACTGTATTTTTCGTGGGGCCAAGAATGACAATGTGTATTTCCCGGATGCCAGAGGGGGTCTCCATCAATGACGCAGGTATTCAACACCAGAGGGCCTGGCTCCCTGCTCGGGGAGGACTCATGGGTCACCTTGGATGACCCAAACCCTCTGACATCTGGCAGAGTGGTAAAGTATTTGAAACATCTATTAGGAACAGAACTATTTAGAGTTAGTAATTATTTTCTTAAACCTTCTTGGTGGGTTCAGAAACAAATGATTATTTTGTGTAAATTCATTTATTTTGACTCCTGCAAAGGGAAGAAATAGGGCTTTGGTTGTTTTTGTTGTTGGAGTTACTGTTTTTGAAACAGTCTCGCTCTGTTGCCCAGGCTGGAGTGCAGTGGTGTGATTTTAGCTCACTACAACCTCTGCCTCCCAGGTTCAGGCAATTCTCCTGCCTCAGCCTCCTAAGTAGCCGGGATTACAGGTGCACACCACTACTAATTTTTTTGTATTTTTAGTAGAGGCAGGGTTTCACCTTGTTGGCCAGGTTGGTCTCAAACTCCTGACCTCAGGTGATCTGCTCACCTCGGCCTCCCAAAGTGCTGGGATTACAGGAGTGAGCCACTATACCCAGTCAGGAAGAGGGTTTTAATACAATTTTTCATCTGGCTGAAAAATATACTTCAGTGTTCAATGATTTGAAATCTCTGAGATATCAGGGAATGAAAGGGATTAAAAGCGTTAAGAAATATAAACATAAATGTGCATGTGTGTGTATGTGTGTGTGTGTGTGTGTGTGTGTGTGTGTGTGTGTGTGTGTGTACTGTTTCTTTTTCTGCCCAGAGAAGACATCTGTCAATGCTCATAAACCCCGTTCCCTCTGGTGAGAAGTTAGGACCAGCGTAACCTAATGGTGGGCAAAAAAAGAACATGCAGAATTCAATGCAATACACATCCTGACAAGTTTCTAAGAACCACGAGAAGTTTAGAAGCAGGAAATAAATAGTAACATCAACCACAAGAAGGCTGTCACTCACTCCAGAGTTTCAAATGCTCATACACAGGTGGGGGTGGGCCATAAGCAAGCCAGCATTGCAGCAAAGAAAGGACAGACCCAGAGGAGACTCCAAGGATATAAAAACACGAATGAAACAAAACACAACAAAGCCTCACCACAAAAATGATAACCGTGGGAGGTAATGCATTTGTTAGCTAGATTTAACCATTTCACAATGCATATATACTTCAAAACATTGTGTTGTACATGATAAATGCGCCCTGTTTTATCTGTCAACTTAAAATAAAAATGAGAAGGGCCAGGTGCGGTGGCTCATGCCTGTAATCCCAACACTCTGGGAGGCCGAGGTTGGAGGATTTCTTGAGCCCAGGAGTTTGTGACCAGCCTGGGCAACACAGTGAGATCCCCATAAAACAATACAAATAAAATGAGCTGGGTATGGTGGTGCACACCTGTGGTCTCAGCTACTCTGGATGCTAAGGCAGGAGGATGGCCTTAGTATCCTCCTGCCTTAGCATCGGCAGGTCAAGGCTGTGGTAAGCTGTGATCACGCCACTGCGCTTCAGCCTAGACGACAGAGTAAGACCCTGTCTCTAAAAAAATTAATTAATAGGCCGGGTGTAGTGGGTCACATTTATAATCTCAGCACTTTGGGAGGCTGAGGTGGGTGGACCATGAGGTCAGAAGTTTGAGACCAGCCTGGCCAATATGGTGAAACCGCATCTCTACTAAAAATACAAAAATGAGCTGGGTGTGGTGGCGAACGCCTGTAGTCCCAGATACTCAGGAGGCTGAGGTGGAAGAATCACTTGAACCTGGGAGGCAGTGAGCCGAGATTGCACTGTTATACTCCATCCTGGGCAACAGAGTGAGACTGTGTCTCAAAAAAAATAATAATAATAAATAAAATATTTTTAATTTTATAAATGAAAAAAATTTTTAATTAAAAAATTTTATAAATTAAACAAATTTAAAACTTCATAAATGAAAAAAAAAGTGACAACCAAACCCCTCAGGCCCACTACCTCGCACCGAAAGCCATGTTTGGGAGACAGCAGCTGGTATCCACAGGCCTGACGCTCAGTCAAGGCAAGGAGAGCCAGCCCGTGAAATCCTGTACTTCCTGTTTCTGCAGAACCAGCTACAGCACAGTTGAGAGAGGTTCTCCAAACGGGAAGACAGAACAGACAGCTCCTCTACAACGGCCTGCAGACCCCCAGAAAGGGCGCTCCTGGAAGCAGCAGGGCCTCGGCCTCATCAGCCAACACCACATTCACTTGGGTGGGGCAATGGCACTGCCCACCTGGCCTCACTGTCCTTGCGTTCCTCTTTCTGACACTCTCAACAGGGAGCGATGAGGCTGGGGCGACGTTCTCTCGCAGCAGGCTGTGAGTCTCCTTCTCTTGGCTGCCTTCGTCAGGAGCCCTTCCGCTCCGAGAAAACCAGCAAGGCTTCTCCAAGTGCACCGAGCAGGAGGCTGCAAACAACAGCAGGAGGTCAGCTCTCTGGTCCCCGGGGACCCCATATGCAGGGCAAGGGGTGCCTCCCCTCACTCTGCGACTGTGACTCATCACCAGCCCGGACTGCCATGCTTCCAGGTCAAGCCCAGGAATCGCTCCTATAACTCGGGTGCACAAGGGAGGTGAGAGGGCTGGGAAGCGGGGCTGGATAGCTTCCCTTAGGGAAGGAGGTGACACGACCCACACATCCCGGCCAGGTGAGGGCGATGCACTTGGGTTAGTGCTCTCTGGCAGAAACAGTCTTCTGGCAGGAGGGCTTCCCGTAGAGCCCTCTGGTGCTGTTGGCTAAAGAGGGCTGATGGGTAGGAAATCATGCAGGTATACATACACTTAAAATTCAGGTGATGATCTCAGGATCTTTTCATTTCATTTAAACTATAGAACATTTAAAGGTGAAAATACAAGTGGGGGATCATAATTTTCCCACCAGCACAGAGAGAAACATGGCCAGTGATCTGAAAATGAAAAAGCAGTGGGAGAACTGGAGACAGTGAGGGAAGAAGAGCTGAATATTTTAATATGCCTCGAATGTAATACAGCCAGTCTCTCCGCTTTCTATTTTGAACCTCGCCGTAGACAGTCTGGTGACTATCTGAATCCTGTCAGTCTTCTGGTGCCTGTGCTGGGCCATCTCCAAGGGGCCATGGTGGTGGGTGCCTGATGGGGAGAGCCACCTTTTCAGAGGTGCCAACAGCCCTTTTAATCAGACCCTTTCCTTCCCTTCCACTCCCATCCGCCTATCCAACACCCCAATCCTTCAGATGCTCACTCTTGACACACACCCAGGCCATGGTGCCTTCATATCTTGAACGTTTGGGGTGCTGAGCGTATGACATACATATAGGCTACATTCCTGGTGAAAAATGTTCCTTTGGTGGGCGACCCTGACATGCAGTTAACTCACACCATTTTCCACTTCAGTATAGGAATGAACTGACTATGCATGAGAATATAAAACAATATGCCTTAAAATCAGGCCAACCCAAGTTCAGGCTCTGGCACGGGCCTGTGTTAGTCAGGTGATCTGGTGTGTGGTTTCAGCCTCAGTCTCTCCATCTGCACCATGGGAGATAATCGCATCCAATAGTCTCTGTGAGGCTTAGAAATAACACATCAGAAGCAACCCACCGCTGTGTTTAGCCTATGATGGACAATCACTAAAATAGGATTATTAATATTTTCTAGCCGACTGCCCTCTGAGAGTAGCAATCCCCTCCTCAGTGGCCCTCCAGGTGGGCCACCCAACTTCTGCCTGAAGACGTCTAGTGAAGGGCGTGTCGTGTGGAGCGAGACAAGCCTGTCCCATGGATGAGTGGCTCTGGTCACTGCATTTACATGCATCTCCATGGGCATCTCACTCATGGAAACCACTGGGGTTGGTGGGGACTGGACGAGACATGTTCCTCCCCCCTGCTGAGCCCAGTAGCCCTTCATCACACTGACCCTACAGCGGCAGTTTCTTACAGCCTCGCCCGCAAGGCCAAGATCTGCTCTCTGGAGCAAGAGAGAACAAATGTACTCCTTCATCAGCTTAGAGACGGAGAATTCCCCCAAACACCGTGATCTCCTCTCTGGTGATTAAATGCCTCTAGGGGAGGGCAGCAGGAGACAGTTGTCAGTCAGTACGGGGGGCTTGGAGGATGTCCCCCACCTGGGGTCACAGTGGGGATGGAGGAGAGGGAGCCGAGGGAGATGGATGCCTGGTACCTTACTCCAAGATAGGATGTACTTTCCTCTTTCCTTCCTACAGAAAGAAAACTAGAATAGTGAAACTAAGTTCATCGATCCTACCTAACTCACAATAATGTAGCTGGAATGAATGGCCATGTTATGAACTGAATAACTATCTGTGGACTTCCCCAGATCTGTAATCATCATTTTCAGCACTGCCTCTGACAGAAACTGTGGCCCAAGTTCCCAAAGACCCTATTTGGAAACAAGGCCCCTTTGTGAAACTGGGAGCCTGCTTGTCGCTTGTCTAGCTCAGGACCCCAGATGCTGAAGGGTCCTATCACCTCTCCTCTTTGGAAAATACATGACTGTGAAGGAGAAGTGTTCTTTTTGCACACAGGCTTACCTCCAAAGACCTGGCTTTTCCTTTTAAGTGACTGCTGTTCCCCTCTGTAGCCCTTCAAGAGTACATACGCCACCCTGCCAAGTACCCAGGCCATGCAGAGTCACTGCGACTGGATGTAAGGGTTGCCTGGGGCTTTAGGCTTGGGAGGGTTTTATTCCTGCAAATGTAACAGGGGGCTCGGACATTTTATACACTTTCCACTAATCCTTCTTAATCACCAGGGAGAAAACCAGGGTAGCGGTTGGCCCCTTGCCACTTTTACTCCCACAGCCTTAGAACAATGCTGGAGTGTAATAACCTTGCATTCTGTCCCTTCGCCTGAGCTATTTTACGACACACCAAAGCAGCTTAGTAAATGCTAAAAATGAAAACAAACCTTGGTTCAGTTTACTGTTAAGAGAGCCAGAGAGGTGAGCTTTGATGTTGTTTTCTAAACAGCAGGAAAGGCTGACATGGGTCCAGGAATCTTAATAGCATTACAACTATTTAAGTCAGAGCTTGACTGAACTGTTTGCAAATCTTGTAATCCCCATCATTCCTGAAATGAACAAACTTCATGTAACCAAGGCATAAACATCAGATTGCAGGGCACACATGGCCAGAAATATCCATCACTGGCTTCTCTTCCAGAGGTTTATTTTCAGCGCTTCTCCAGCCCTTCTCTTTTCTCCTGTGGGGGACTGAAGGCTCCATTTAAATTTTACATTTATTATTGTGGCTATTCAATTAATTCCTGTTGAGCCAGTAGAGAGAGGACGGAGGCTGCATCCTTCACCTGGCTGAAGGTCCCACACTTAATGCAGCACTCAGTAAATACTGATTCAGTGAATAATTACACAAAGATTATATAAGTTATAATAATGATCTTTAAAGATCATTTTCTAAAGGCCCTTCATGGTGCTGGTGAGGTTTGTGCTAGGCTCAAGTTCAAGTGATCCTCATGGCTGATAAACTGCAATCCGTGGCAAGCTCAGTGAATGACGTGCAGAGGAGAAAATGTGGTCATGGAACCCTCAGAACAAAGAAGTTGCATTTGGTTATTCCTTTCTTTCCTTGTCCCGAAACTATTCCAAAGAAAAAGGCGACTTTCCCTGTCTGTAAAAGGAGATTCAGAGAGGAGGCACCATAATTAATTCCACTTGACAGGGACACTGCTCTCAGGTCAGAATCCTTCTCTTTTGCATGCTTCTAATCTCCTTTGCTGAATTTTGAAATAGAGGGAATTAATATATACTATAAAACTGTTAATTAAAAATGAGTAATTAAATAGGAATCTGGATATTTAAATTACTGGGTTGAAATAGATTGTTTTTATAATAATTGGCTGGACAAGAGCAGTTGTATTTAATTAAAGATTTAAAAACTGACCAACATAGGCCGGGCACAGTGGCTCATGCCTGTAATCCCAGCATTTTGGGAGGCCGAGGCGGGCAGATCGTGAGGTCAGGAGTTCGAGATCAGCCTGACCAACATGGTGAAACCCCATCTCTACCAGGAATACAAAAATAAGTTGGATGCGGTGGCACGCGCCTGTAATCTCAGCTACTCAAGAGGCTGAGGCAGGAGAATCGCTGGAACCTAGGAGGTGGAGGTTGCAGTGAGCTGAGATCACGCCACTGCACTCCAGCCTGGGTGACAGAGCGAGACCCTGTCTCAAAAAAAAAAAAAAAGAAAAAAAAATTGAGTACTTAGGTTTATAATTGTTCTTGGATACAATATTTTGAAGGCTGGCCACTCAGTGTTGATTCAGTAAGTATTCAACACTAGGTCTAGAGACACAAATGTGAATAAACACACCCTTTCTCCTAGAGCTGCTCACAGCCTGGTGGGTGAGATGGCGCCGGCCACCTGTCACTCAGTGCAGCAGGTGCCTACGGAGCCAGATACAGACACAGAGGGGGTGGGAGGAGCAGCTGAGGGCCTGACACTTGAGCTGATCCAAAGCTCTGATTTGATGAGCAAGTTCCTTGAGATCCTGCTGAAATTTCAAGTGGCATTTTCTCCACTAGCTCCCATTAAGTTTAGACCAGTGATTCTCAACTGGGATTTGACATCTGGCAATGTCTGGAGACGTTTTTCATTGTTACAACTGAGGGGGTGCTACTGGCATCTAGTGAGCGAGGTTCAGGTTTGCTGCTAGGCATCATACAAGGCACAGAACAACCCCTCAAAGCAAGGAATTATCTGGTCCCAAATATTAATAGTGCTTTAGGTGAGAAGCCCTGTTTTAGATGGCCCATTTTGTGCAGCTAAGCTATTGTCCATCCAAGCAGGAGGATAATGACATATATATTTGAACACAGTGATCTCCCTGGAGTCAGGGAATGTGTCTTTCTCACTTCTGTACCCTCAGAGCCCAGCCCAGCCCTTTGGTGGAATGCATGAATATACAAATACATGGATGCAAGGCTGCTGGCTAAAGCACGGTCCTCCAGTCTCAGCCAGCCTAGGCTGGTGGAGGCCATGGTGGATTGGACAGCACACGCCCACCGCGTGAGGAGGCAGCCTCTACTCATTCCAGCAACTGCTGCTGTGTTCAAATGCAGGCCCAACATTAGCAGCTGCTCCACATTTTCAAAAGAATCTGGAAATCTGGATTTGTATGAGGAAATCACCCAATTTCAAAATGGTGACGGCTAACTTAAAATTTGAAAAGCAAATGACAAGAAATAGTAACTATAGCGGCACACACAATAGGTCCAAACAAAACAGGCCTGCAGCCCCTGCCCTTTGTGACTTCTGATCAGGGTAAAGTCCCATGCCACAGGGATCAGCCACCCCTGCCCGGGCTCTGAGAGCTGGTCACCCAGCCACACTTGAACATGCCTAGTGTACAGACAAGGCAGATCAGCTCTGTGCCAGACACAGAGCTGAAGCACA